GTCGGAAATCAATCAAAAAATCATCCCTGAAATTATTTGCCACCTTGTGTGAAACACCCTGTCATATAAACATACAAATACAGAACGAATTCTCGCAACTTTTTCAAATTTTTGTAAATTTGTTTTTTAAAATTATGTATATGTATAATGAAGGAGCGAAGTTACCAGAATTATAGTATATCATTACGCGCCCCCTCTCTCAAACCATTATATAAGGTGGAATCTTAACTGTTAGCAAAAAGCAATTCTCTGAATAATATTTTCTATAGCCAAAAAATTCTCCAATGGCTGATAATTTTTCCGAAATATCAATATTTTTATGTATATGAAAATAAAACGCCCTATTATTCGAAATAAAACACTTTTATTTTCGCTAATATATTTCAAACTATCAAAGCTGATTTTCTCCTAATCATTATTAAGACAACAAACAATAAATTTAAAATATATTAAAATTAGAAATATTATACCTGTCTTAATCTAATTTTCTACCTGATTTAATATAAAATTTAATTTTCTTTATGTTTTTTTTTTATTAATTACAAAGTAAAATTATACCTGTTTTAATCTTTAAAACTGGTCAAATAATTCATTTAAAGAGCCCAAGTAGCCGCGTTACCATCGGCCGTGTTCAGTAGGCAGTCTCTCTTAATAATTTTAAGTTATCTTCCGTAATTATATTGTGATCCGTTTCATAAATATGGTTTGCAACCACTGAATCCGAAAATCGTAGTCTTCTTGCATGTTTTACCTCATTTAAATGTTTCTTAAGTCTTGTTGCAACAGGCCTCTTCGTTTGTCCTGTATTATCGATTGCAATAATTGCGACAAATTTTACACAGGACAAACGAAGGGGCCTGTTACAACAAGACTTAAGGAACATTTAAGTGACGCTTTGCAACCGCGATAGTGATTTTGCGCTGGTCGCCATATTGCAAATTGCCAGGGTCCCAGACATGGTGGTAACGCAGGTGGGGATGGGAACCATTTTTAATTCAAATGTGAACATTTCAAAAATTGAACATTCTCTTACCTTATTGTTTAAATTTTTGTTAAAAATTATTACGCTTCAAGTACGTTATGTACTTATTTCAATTTTTAAGAAACCTGTTGGTCCCATTTTACCTTATGAAGATTAACTTTAAAGATAAAACACATGCGTATACATATATTTATCGACCACATTACATGTAACACGTCATGTCACCAATTAAATCATGTCGATATTGTGATATCACCAAGTTAAGCATCTGATTTTCATTGGAAACGCGTTTCTGTCTGATTTTAATGTAAATTTATGTAAGAGATTACTTCGCCCATGCTAATCATGATTGTGATTGATCTTTTAGGATATATCTAGCCTTAAAAATGGACCTTTAATACGACCTGATTTTACAATTTTGATGATTTTTAAGAAAACATTCAGCAGTTTAACATGAAATTTTATATATAAAATATTATCTAACTTATCGTAGAAATCAGCTGCCAGTAAGTGATCATTTACTACGGAACAGGTTTACACTTTTCCGTATATAAAGCGATCAAATAAATAATCAATCAATTTCCATGAAATTTAATATTTAGATTTGGGGTTATAAAACAATGAAATATCACTGAACTTTAACTTGGGGCTGATTTTACATTTTTTGCTATATCGTAGTAACTCATTGACGAGTTTTCTCAATAGTGTTTAAAGCACATTTTTATTTTCTTGGACGACATTTAACATTCGTTAAACTAGCCAATGCACCTGCGATCGATTAAATGCTGATCACGACAGATTTATTTTATTTTGGTTTACCTTTTCCTTTGCCGATTCAATTTTGCGACTCACTCTGTGTTAGATAAATACAATTATCATAGTATTCGTACAATATTGAGGAAATCATTATAAAAGCAAACTTAATTTAAATTTAAACAAGAAATAGTTACTATTAATTGAAATTTATTAAATTATTTCAAATTATCAAATATAATTCATACATACGTGACATTCTTAATGTACATACAGTGTGCACATGAATAAAATAGCAAATTAAATATAATATGACAAATCATTGGAATTGATGTATCCTAGATATGGATACATAGAAAATTTGTATTGTCCTACTGAGTATATATTCGGTATATGTACTCAGTACGACAATACAAATTTTTTTGTGTCATTAACATTCAATGATATATTTTTGCAATATTTTTTTTTTTTTGCAAATATAGCAACTTTACAATTTTTGTTAAATTGGAGCTAAGTATTCAATTCTATTTTATTACATATACATAAAACCATATGTATGTGTCAATCATTACCTTTTTTTTTTTTCTAGTTTAAAAAAATTGTAGTAATGTTCATTTAAAATTAATTATCTAACATATTCATATAAGTTTGTATATAAATATTAAACTTAATGCTACTAGTATTTATTGTGCTCAAAGATTTTTTGAGTTTAATGTAATGTCATTTATTATTTACATCAAATGTAGTAATAAAACTAAACATAAATATGGCTTATAATTAAAAAATTATGTAATGTCATACATTTTGCAAAATGCAGATCTCTAACGTTTTACATTTAAAAATTTATATAGATTTTTAATTTTGAAAAAGTGAATATAATGAATAAATATAAAAATTTCATACTTAGTTAATTTTATGCTGCGCTTTTACTCATTTAATAATTATATTTAATTTTTTAAAGTAGCATTATTACAATGTTAAATTATTTATCTTTTTTATTACCATTTTTTATCCTTCCTAATATTTATTGTGAAATTTAATTAAAAATTATATACTTATGTACATACATATTATTTATTATATTTATTTAGTAAATTATTTTTACAAAAAATCATTACATGAAACGGAAAGATATTTTTAAATAAATGTTATGTATTCATTAATTATAAATATATAGTTACATCATCAACATCAAAGTATGATAATATCTTAAATAATTATCCCCTCGAAATTATGAACTCTAAAAACTAATATTATCGCTCTTTAATTTTTTTCAATAACACTAAACGACATTTATTTTTCTTTTTATTTTCTTTTTATTCTCGTCTTTTCATTTTAAAAAATTTTTGGACAACATACATATTGCATTGCATACAATAAGGAAGGTTATGTGCTGGCATTATCAGATTCTTTTTAACGTTATTATGGTTTACTTATAATTTTGTAATGAACATATGGTTTGCATATTGAATATTAAAAGCTAAAAAAGAGACTAAAAATAAATTTTTTTATAAGATTGGCATGTTTAAATGTAATTTTGTAATATGTCCTAAATTAAGAAAAAGAAATTTTTATTAACATTTTTGTTTTTTGCTAAAAAGAAAAAGTTCAGTTCATTTTGCATCAATAAAGCGATCGGTTGATCGAAAAAAAAAATTTTTTTTCTTGAGAACGAAGAACTTAAATTAATACAATAAAGTTTTAAGAAATATTAAATATTATAATTATTAAAATATTATAATATTATTGACAAAAGTTAGAGAATAATTTACAATTAATTTCTACATGATTCCACATGAAACAATTTTTCAGAAAAAAAAAAATTATTTTAATTTGCTCTGAAAAAAAAGCAAACAAAAAAACAAAATTGTAAAACAAAAAGGAAAATTAACATTAATGGTGCAGTCGTACACAAGCCGTTCAAGAATCATCAGTTTCCCAACATGTAGTTCAAGCAAGCTGCTCAACTTTCAGCTCTGTTTCTTTCTTTGGACCCGATGAAGTATATTTCAGAACTTACGGAATTTAATGGGAAATCTCACGAGTTATTTAATTTTATAGATTAAGTTGAAAACATAATCCCAGTAGTTAGTCAATATAATGATTTTTTTTTAAATAAAATTAAGTCAAAATTAGTAGGTAAAGCGAATGAAATAGCAAAAATAAATAATCACATTTCAATTTGTTCTGATTTAAAATAATTCGAAATAAAAACAGCTTTGCAACTTTTCAAAGAATTGCGAAGTGTCAAATTTAAAACAACAAGTGTGGATTTCTATAGGGAGATCAAAAAGTATTATGCCATTGTCCGAACCAATATTAAAACTGGGTTGCGGATATTCAAAGCAAAGTTACACGAATCAATGCGTTCAACACTTTTTAGTCTCGACTCAGCCGCTTTAGAAGATGCTATTGAAGTCTTCTATGAAGACAATGCAGATTTAAAAATGAATAATTCTAATAATAATAGAAACTAACAAATAAACTTTTTCAAAAATAACGGATCATACTACGGTAATACTAATACTATTAACAACAATATTAACAATTATAATACTAATCCTAGCAATATTAACACAATAAATATTTGTAGAACAAAGCCAAATTACCCTACCAACCAAGGAAATTTCTATTTTAGTAATAATGCTGGAAATAATTTACGTTGTAATAATAATCGCGTAATAACAATCATAATTCTAACGGTTATTACATTTTGTGTTGTTTATATAAACAAAATTTCATAACTACAAATTAAAGCAGCTGCTTATATAATAATATATTAATATACATAATGTCAAACTTTAAAAAAAGTGAAAATATAAATAATAATAGTAATATTAATAAGGATGACTTTGATCATTCTCAGGTGCAGACCGGAAAACCATCTAACCGAGGAGGAAAAGCAATATCAGCTGCAACTCTACGCCGATCAGCTAATCGTTGACTTGCACGTAATAACCAAAAGTCCGACCAATCATGGTAATCAGAGAAGGACAATCAGGTTAGATATGATGAAAACATCGCCGGAATATGAAAAATTTTTTAGCATCAGTAAGCCATTAAGTTGGACTGCCAGTAGAATGATAGGAAGATTCCAACTCCCGAATGGCTTTCCTTAGTTCTCTACATCTAGCTGAAGTCAATAAAAATTGAAATAAAAAATTTTGTTTTGTTCTTCCTTCCGACTAAAAATACGCAAAGAAAGGAAATGTTAGATCAGTGAACCATTAGGCACAGCGTTTCAGAACGCGACTGGCAAACCAAAATGACGTATCATAATTCGAAATTAAATATCATCACAAGTAGCGATAAACATCCTATTCCAAATATAGACGATATTTTAGACGGTTATAGGGCAATGTGCTTTAATTAATGAAATTAATTAATGAAATTAATGAAAAAACATTCTATATTTTTTTAATATTATTTTCCCATATATTTAAATTACCAATATTGCTGAAAACTAATTTGTGGCAATTTAATAATAATGCACATGTATTTATAAACATTATAGTTAGCTAATGTGAATATTTTTTCACAACATAATTTCTCACATTTTATTGTAGGAGTCAAATTACTTTCGCAAAAAATTTTTATTGCCTGTTAATTTTGTCTTAAGTAAATTTGAAACTAATATGATACTAAAGTTAACATGGGAAACATATGATTTTGATAAACACATAAAATTGCTTGCTATTCTATTTCTATGTGAAATAATTAATTTTAAGTATTACTTATTAACTTCAAGAAGAATATAACTTCAGGGAAGACAGTAGAATACCATAGTTTGTTGAATTTATCAGAAAAAGATAAACTCAAGAAACTATGGAAACTGTTTAACACCAACAACTTAATAATAAAAGAGTTTTGGTGTGCGAGCAATGATCACACGTATTTCAAAACTGAATACTATAACAAGGTGAAGCAGCTCAAAGAGGGCCTACAAGATCCAATGTAGGCTTTCTTTGAGCTATGTTTTCAGCTGGTATCATGCTTGAATGTTTAAAAAACACCATAATAAAATAATAAATATTTTGTAATCATCTTTAGTTTGCAATTAATATTAATTGCTTAGTACACATTTTGTAAATATTGTTTTGACTTTTGTTAGAAGAATCAAAAAAAAGAAAAAGAAATTTTTTTTTTATTAAGTTGACGAAGGTTGCTAACATATCACATAAATTGCATATTAAAGTTTTTAATTGCATATAAAAGTTAACCAAAAAAAATATTTTCCAATTTCAATTTCAATAAAAAATAAATTATAAATTGTTTTTATAGATCAAAAAAGTATTATGCCATTATCCGAACCAATATAATTAGTTCACTTGAGGTCAAATGTTCCATTGGTAACTGTAGTAATAATGATCAAGCACTAGAAACTGTGAAATGCAAAGGTTTTTGTAAACGAGAATTTCGTGGCACTTGTGTTTAGAGAGAAATTGGCATTTTTCCAGACTATGTAACAATTTCACCCGCGACGAATGCTTGAATATTCACGACTTCCTTGAAAATATGAACAATAAAAATAACTTACGAGTTATGCATAACACCGTTGTTAAAGGTGATGCAACACTTCCTGTTATTTAAAATTTTAAATTAAAAATAAAAAAGTTCTCATAATATAACAAAAGAATGCGGCCACCCCAATTACAAAACTTTATGTCTGATATCAACAAAACGGTACAATCCAAATTTAGACACGTTTTGTCGATATCAGCAATTTTACATTAAAATAATAAAACTTAGTTATAAGTACTTAATTGTAAATTTAGCACAGTTTATGGTTTAACAATAAAGGTTGATTTTTTTAATCAAATTGAATTTTAATAAAAGTGTCTTTTGTTTGAATAAAATTAAAAAGTGTTTTTTTTTAATATTGATACGAAAGTACATTTGTGGCGGAGACGGTAGGATTGCAAAAAAAAATAAAATATAAAAATAATAATACAATCCAGTGATCGAACCGAATAAATAAATTCGGTTATGCAGTATTCGGTAGCAACGTATAGTAAACGAAATCGAAAGCAGAGACGAAAAAATCAGACAACTTACCGCTGCAATTCAACACTACCAGGAAAAGGAAGAAATGAACCATGCCACCGAAAAAATTATGAGGGAGGTCAGGTTCATGACAACATTTACTGGTAAAGGAGACAATTATATAGATCTAAGTAATGTTGATTCCATATGAGTGAACACAATTAAAGAAATGTGCCAAGGCACTTTGCTTGATAAAATATGTATATGAATTAAAAGATTTATCAGTAATTTTGAACATTATGAGCAAACGCAGATTTGAAGATACCTGCATTAGAGCAGAGTATCGAATTAGTTTTCAAAAAAATAATAGTACCAATAATAGTAGTCACAATCGTAAAATATAAATAAATTTTTCATAAACTAGTCATGTGTGCTTGCATTGCAAGCCTTGCAAGTATTTAGTTTTGAAATTGTGTTCCATTCTGTGTCTGAGATATTTTAAGTTTACTTTATTTCTTCAAAAACACACCCGTAATATACATATAGATGAGTTTTTTCCTGATAAATAATAAGATAAAACTTAAAACTTAAAATAAAAAAGTTCTGAAAAATAATTACCCAAAAATACATAATTAAACAAATAATTAGTTCCTTTGAAATCTAATACCTTTTGAGTTATTTATTATAAAACTTCACTTTGAGTTATGTCGCATAAAATCGTAAATTACATTTTACAATAAGCACTTTAAGCCATAAATTATTGTATACGCATGAATTAACTTGCTACTACAATTCATGAATAAAACGCGTGACTGTAGAATGAGTTAACACCAATACTAACGTATATAGAGTAGTACGTATTGCATACGATTTCTATGCGAAAAGTCTCAGGTTCGAACCCTGAAATATGCGATTTGCCAGATGAACTTTTTTTATTGATAATTTTATTTTTTTTAAAATGAAATTAAAAAACCTTCACCCTTACCAAATCAATATCAGCGAGTTTCCGTTCTCAATATTTTTTTGAAAATACCCTACTTGTAAAAAGTTTAATGCAATAGAATAACACTTTCTTATAAAATTTTACCCTAAAAATATATTGTCAAGGAGTTTAATGTAAACTTATGTTTTGCTTTCTAATACATATTGCAACAGATCGCGAAAAGAATGCATAACTAAATGCGTACGTACATTGTTATTATAAAACAATGTAGATTTTATTAAAACTTTACAATTTTCTTAAGAGTGTTCACTTTTTGTTATAAGTCACACTTCCAAATATGAATTTACATACAATATTTATACCACCAAAATTAAATAAAATATTACCCCTACAGGATGTAGTACCATTTTGTAAAAAACGGTTACAAAGCATCTTGGGAGGGGGTGAAGGGGGAGACTGAGTGGAGTTCTTGCTCTTTCTGGGACCCTAGAGGCAAAACCCTATGTAAAGCCTTTTGTCCCATGTCTCTAGCCCTTCTAGAAGTACCCGTACTTTTTGCCTCCTGAGAAGTAGCTATAATATATATAATGTAAAATAGGATGGTTTTTGAAAAGTTATACGAAATATGAATAAAATATAGAATTATAAAGGGAAATTCAAGGTACTGCGTAGTCTAGTGGTTAGCGTAGTAGTCTGATAGCCAAAAGGTTATTGGATCAATGCTTGCCTGAATTTAATAATATTCAAAACTGTAGAATATACAGAAATAAATTTTAAACGCATAATTATTATATCATGAGGGTAAACATACAAAAATTAATTTTTCAAATAAAGAAAAGGTTTAGTCAAAAACAAAATAATAATTTTATTCAAATATATGTATGTATGTATATATGAATGTTTTAGAATTGAAGATTTTAAAATTTTTCTTTCCAACAACTGAACGTATGTACATATGAATGTATTAGAATCGAAAATTTTGAAATTTTGCTGTTGGAACAATTAGAAATAAAATTATTAATACAAATATATATAATTATGAATGGATACCTGTTTTTTTAAAACTGTGAGTGAACATATAGGATTGGAATTTCCAAATAAAGAAAAGGTTTAGTCGAAAACACAATAATAATTTTATTCAAATATATGTATGTATGTATATATGAATATATGTGTGTATGTATATATGAATGGATTAGAATTTAGCATTTTACAGTTTTTCACAAATTAGCTTTTTGACACAATGGACGACACTGACCGACAAAATATAGAAAAACAATTAGAATCCATAAAATAAAACAGCGACAGGTTGATTCACAATGCCAATACACAAGTTAAAATAAATGACCACTTTAATAGGGGAATTAATCAATTAAAACAATCCATAGAAAACGATCGTACTTTGATATTAGAAAATCTTAATAGAATAGAGGAACCTTCTATGCAACAAAATTTTTATGTAGAATTAAAATTTAAAATCCAACTTATTAAAGAAAAAATAAACCAGATTCAAGATAATTTAGCCTCAGCTAGACACGGGATATTCCACCCTAATATCCTTACTAATCAAGAAATCCAAGATTATGATATAAATTTTTATAAATTACAATACGTTAAATTCGGTGTAGCAAAATTTCAGGAAAATTCATTGCTATTAGCCATCAAAATTCCTAGTAAAATTAAAAAGATACAGCTAAAACTAATTATTCCCTCTACCAAATAAAATTTATAGAGAAATTGATCATACCCAAGAAACAATTTTTGAGTACAATGGTTTAAACTATCAGTATGAAGAATCAAAACCATTAAATGAACTTAAACTGAACAAACATTGTACATTTAAAAATAATTGTAAGCTCATAAATAATAATGTCATAGAATTAGACATTATTCTATCAATTATAGAAATTGAAGAAACCATTTTAATAAAAAATGCAAGAAGTATTGAACTAAATCAGACTTGTGATAGTAGAAAATTAATTTTATCAAAAAATGTACTGATTCATTTTAATAACTGTTTATTAAAAATATTAGATCAGTTTTTTTCAAATATGAAATCAAGTTTAAAAGAAAGATTCTATTATCCTATAAGTGAAAATGATATAAATTTTAAAACATTCATTTGATGAAATTGTCTCAAAAAATTTTAATAATGTACAAAAAATAAAAGCCTTACATTATCATAAGAATATGTCATATATCTTAATAATTATAACAATTCTCAGTTTGTTTCCAATCTCGCTAGTGTTGGTCATATTCGGTAATTGAAATTAAATTCCTATTTAATTGTAACAGATTTTCTTCTGTTATTTCTTTTTTTTGTTTTTGTTTATTTTCATTTTTCTTTGTTTGACATTTTGTTAAACACTAAATATAAAAATAACTCGTAAAAGAACTCGAAACAATACAAATGATGCAGGTGCTGCATCAGATAATACAATAATGTCAAACAACAATAACAATAAGAATAAAAAACAAAAACCAAATGATGTTGATGAAAATTACTATTCAATCTTGCAATCAATATTTGCTAATAGTGATAATGATGACATGCAAAGTGAAACCGTAAACGCATCAGCAGACCTTAGCAACAACTTAAATAATAAAAATGATATACCTCCAATTACAATATTAAACAAAAAACTCGATTTTGTACATAAACTAATGAAAGATAATAAATTTAATGATTATTATGTAAAATCAATTTCTATTGGAACTAAATTATATTGTAAATCGGTAGAAACATATAAAAAAATTTCTTCTGCTTTAGATAATGAAAAATGTGAATTTTTTTCGTATAATTTTAAACATGGCCTTTCAAAGCCATTCTCTCTGGTATTTATGATATAGAAATAAATGAACTTAAAACTTACTTACTAGAGCTTGGTAACCTAAAAGTGCGCAAATTGTAAAGAGAACCATCGTTCGTCAGATCCATCCTTTCCACACCGACTTGCATATGTTCAATTAATTAATGAAAATCAAGGCAATTCACGTCAAAGTTCAGTTATTCAAAAATCCAAACAATTTATGGGGAACTATAATCAACTTTTTCCACCAATCTTTGGTGTAAACGCTACTGGCAGTGGTAATACTACAAACACACCTTGGCATAGTTTTAATCACAATCGTAATTTTTCTAATCTAAATAATTCTGTTAAATACTCTTACAACAACAATACCAACAACTGTCATGTAAGTGATACTAACAGCACAAATAAAAATATCAATAGTAATTATAATATAACAGCTCTAGTAATTTTAATTACACTAATAATAATAATATTTCTATCGGCGAAAATTCTAATCCAAGTAATATATATACATGTAGGTGAAACAATGTTAAACAATCTATTTACATTCGATGAAATCAACAAACTAACATCTGATATACTGACTAAACTTTCCATCTGTCGTACTAGGATGGAACAATTTCAAGTTGTTACTGAGCTTACTTTTAAATATAAGTTAACGTGAAATATCCAAACTTATAAAAGCTCACGTTACACTGCGGCATTATCAATCATGAGAAACATCAAATATAAAAATATTCTAAAATATTTTCTCACAGTTATGTTCCCACAAGTTGCAATAAGCAAGTTTGCTTATTTTGCATATCTATATTATAAATCATCTAACTAAATCTAAATCATCTAACAACAGAACATTGTTAATCGTTATTAGAATTTATAACTGTAAAGTTCATAATTTGTAAACGTAATTATAATTGTGCATTTGTATTAAATAAAAATAAAAAAAAGTTAAAAGAAAAATTTGTTTTTTTTTAATAATAACAAGAACATTTTCTTTAACTGACGCCCAACGTAAAAGGCGTTCAAGTGTGAAAAAGTTACTTTTGAAAAATACCCGAAAATTTTTTTAATAAAAAACAAAAAAAAAAAAGTAAAAAATTGATGTGCAAAACAAAAAGCTTTATAAAAGCTAAAACTGCCAATTCAATAATAATAATTAACTACATAAAAATATAATAAAAATTTTTCGTGTACAGAAAAAAGAACTTTATAAAAGTTAAGTACTGTACAAAAATAATAAAATAATAAAAAACCAAAATTAAAACGACAAAAGCGAAAAAATCAAAACGATAATAATTAAAACAAAATAACAAAATAATATAATAAAAAATTAAAACTCAGCCGATAAAAAGTAAAGAAAAAAATTGTAACTTGGTCACAAGGTGAAAAGATGAAAGCAATTTGGACGAAAGAACGAGGCCCCGAAGTAACTCAACAGAGAGGAAACGGAGTTTTTAGGCAACTTTAATTAGTGAAAAAAACAGCCGCCTTCGCAGCTTACAATAATCATCAGCTTGATGCCACAGTGATTAACCTACAAATGTACAACATTAATACTGCTGTAAGTAGTTAAATTTCAATTATTTTTCGTTATAAGAAATCAAAAACCAAAAATTATTTTTATAAAAGTGAATTAGATCAAAATAAAAAAGAAAAAGAAATTTAAATCAAAAAAAATGTAAGAAATAAAAAAGTTTTAAAAATATCTAAGCAAATTCAAATCATTTTAAAAAAATAAAAAAAAAGTCAAATTTAGAAAGTAATATTTTCTTTTTAATTAAAAATAATGTTTCCCTAAATATCAGAAATCGATAATCGAAATTTTTAAAATCAAAAAATTTAATAATTTCCAATTACAAAAATTTTTTTTTGCAAATCACCGTTATAAAATTACACCTTGTATGAAAAAATTATATATACATACCTACATATAATATTAGTAAATTTAAAAATCAAAAAAATATATACAAACATCATTATATAAAATTTCAGTAATTACAAAATTATATTTAAAAAAGAAAAAGCAATAAATAAATAAAATCATCTAAGTTACGAAGGTATCATATTACACTACCCTACTAAAATCACGTTGCACCGCACACGCAACATTATCGTACCTTCATAAAAACTGCGCGTGAGTTACGTACAATAATACCGCTAATGACGCAACACTTCCTGTTATTTAAAATTCTTACATAAAATTTTATTAAAAAATTCTCACAGACTTATAAAATCAATGCAAGTATCCAATTTCGAAATAATTATGAAAGTTATATTAATTTCCTGTTATCAACAAAACCGTCGCATTATAAAGGTAGACACGTTTTGTTGACACCAGCAAATTTACTTTTAATAATAATAAAACTTAGTTATAAGAAAAGCTTTGTAAATTTAGTCATAATTAATCTAAGAAATCGAACAGTTGTGTTATAAAATAAATCAGTCTAGTAAAAAAGTGTTTTTCAATTGTAAATTTCAAAAGTGTTTTTTTTTAACATATATGAACTATATTTGAGTGGCGCAGTCGGTAGGATTGTAAAAAAAAAAAAAAAAAGAAAAAAAAAAAATAGCAAAATTTTTTTTACTAAATAAAAAAAAAATACAATCCAGTGATACGAACCGAACAATTTTTAAATAAAAAAAAAAAATAATAATTTTTTTTAACACTAAAAAAAAAAATTGGAAATTAAAAGCTAAAATTTTTTTCCATAAAATTAAAAACACTGAAAAAAAAATATAGTGATATAAATTAGTTGATGAAAAGGAACGCATCGTTCGATAATCACAGAAAAAAAGTAATTATGGCTCAGGAACAACAACTTGTCAAGGAAATCGAAACAAAAAATCAGCAAATTATTCAACTAACAGCAGCTGTACAACATTACCAGGAGAGAGAAGCGGCAAACATCGCAAAGGAGAAAATTATGCGAGAAGTTAGATTTATGTCCACATTTACTGGGAAAGGAGAGGTTACTATAAATTCATTTATAAGTAGTATCGAGTACTATCTGTCAAGTGTGCAAGATGCAGAACTTAAAAAATTAATGGTTAGGACAATATACTTTGAGAAAATCCAAGGGGAGGCGAAAGACGCTATCATCAGTATTCCGGAACCAGACAACTGGGAATTAATAAAATCAGCCTTGAGATTAAGATATAAACCGGACATCGAACCAGCAGAAATCTACAGAAGAATAAACAACATCAAATGTAATTCGGTAAGCGATTTAATTATTTTAGTACAACAAATAAAATACAAATCAGATGAATTAAAAATATACTATAAAAACGATAACTATATAGATTTAAGTAATGTCGATTCAATATTAGTGAATACTATTAAAGAAATGTGCCAGGGCACGTTACTTGATAAAATATATGAAGAAAGGGACTTATCTATAATTTTAAATATTATGAGTAAGCGTAGGTTCGAAGATACATGCATTAGAGCAGAGTATCGAATTAATTTTCAAAAAAATAGCAATAACAGTAATAATAACCGTGTTAATAAAAATTATAATCAAAATTACGGTACTCAAAAATGTAGATACACTAATAATAATTTTAATCCTAATAGAAGTAACAATGAAGTGTTCTATCCGAATAAAAATTTTAATAATAATGATTTCAATTTTAAAAATAATTCAGGAAATTTTAAACGAAATTTCAATAATAACAATCATTTTAATTATAATACTAATCGCAACAATAACCAATCAGGGTTTTTCAAACAAAATAATAATCAAAGATCAGGATATTTTAGAAACAATGTAAGCCAGTATAATCAACGTAATGATCAGGTAGAACCGATGGACATAGGTAATATCGAAACAAAAAATAATGACAGACGGTATCGCGAATTAGGCCATTCTAGTAGGGATCCGGGCAAAGATAGCCATCAACAGGCCCCTAGAATAAAACCAGACAGTGACATAACCGAATGTTATTTTAAAGATCAATCGAATAACATAGATTTTTTTTTAAATTAGCCTCGGAAGAATTACCAATCATAGAAATTACAATAAATAGAAAAAAATATTTAGCATTAATTGACACAGGGTCAACATTAAGTATAATTGACGAAAAAGTTACAGATTTTAAAAAAATTAAAATTCCACCCATATATTTTTCCACCATAAGCGGGAAGGACGCTATAACTTACGAAGTGCATACACCTGCATTCTTAGAGTTACAAGCTTATCCAAATGCGTTGATGAGATGGAAAGTAAAAGAACTACCAAATCGTATTTATCAATTTATTATAGGAGCAGACATTTTAAAAAACTTAAATGGGAAAATAAATTTAGAAGAAGGAAATATTATTTTAAACAATCAATGTATAAAACTAAAAAATAATCCTTATATGTTTAAAGAAATACACAGTTTAGAAATGGTAGAACCTGATAATTTAAATTTAAACTTAGATCACTTAAATTCTGAAGAGCGTAACGAAGTAAATAAGTTACTTAAAAAATTTCGAAAACTTTTTTATAAAGAGGGAGATAGGCTTACAAGTACAACGGCCATCGAGCACGAAATTATTACAACAACCGATCAGGCTATAAATTCAAAATTATATAGGTATCCCCCACAGCATGAGGAAGAAGTGAGAAGGCAGATCAAAGAAATGGAAGACCAAGGTATCATCAGGAAAAGCAACTCAAGATACTCCAGCCCCCTAATAGTAGTACCGAAAAAAGCAGACAATTCGGGTAAAAAGAAGTTCAGAATAGTGGTTGACTACAGGAAACTCAACGAGGTCACTGTGGATGATAAATTTCCGCTACCACATATAGATGCTATATTGGACAAATTAGGGAAGGCGCAATATTTTACAACTATCGATCTGGCCAAAGGGTACCATCAGATACTTATAAATGAAGAAGATAGAAAGAAAACGGCATTTGTTACACCTCATGGTTTATACGAATTCAACCGTATGCCGTTTGGGCTAAAAAATGCGCCGGCGACGTTCCAGCGCTTAATGAACGAAATTCTCAGGGAACATATAAACAAAACCTGCGTTGTCTATCTCGACGACATCCTCATATTTAGCACAACTATACAAGAACACGTCAAAGCAATAAGCGAAATTTTTTCAGTATTAGAACAAAATAACCTTAAAATACAGACAGACAAATGTAATTTTCTTAAAAAAGAGACAGAGTTTTTAGGCCATATACTTACTAACGAAGGACTGAAGCCAAACCCAAATAAAATAAAAGTTATACAAAGTTTAGCACTTCCAAAAACTCAAAAGCAAATAAAAAGCTTCCTAGGCCTTACCGGCTATTATAGAAAATTTGTTCGCGATTACGCCAAAGTGGCGCAACCCATAACTAAATATCTGAAAAAGAATACAAAAATTAACATAAATGATCCAAATTACATTAGTGCGTTTGAAAAATTAAAATCCCTAATTACAAGTCACCCTATCCTTAGATTTCCAAATTTCGAAAAACCTTTTGTCGTGACAACTGATGCGTCAAATTACGCAATAGGGTCCGTATTATCGCAGGAGGGCCATCCAGTTTGTTTCGCATCAAGAACATTAAATCACCACGAGCAAAATTACTCTGCCACAGATAAAGAATTCTTGGCAATAATTTGGTCTGTAAACTATTTTCGACCATATCTGTACGGAAAGAAATTTAAAATACTAACTGACCACCAACCTATTAAATTTTTACATACTAAATACAAAGGGAAAGATATGTCTCCAAGGCACCAAAGATGGTTGCTTAAACTAGGCGAGTACGATTTCAACATAGAATACTTGAAAGGTAGAGAGAATAAGGTAGCAGATTTCCTAAGTCGCATAGAAGTTGGCGAGGAAACAATAATCGGAAAAGAAAATAAAATGGACGCGAATTATACAGCAAAAATTTCTAACTCAAAAGACGAAGAACATTCATCTAATTTCGGATTATTTAATATAGAAAACGAAGGGGAAAGTGAAGCATTAGCTACAGTGCATTCAGCCGACGAGGAGTTATTAGAACATATTCCTATTAAGGAAGAAATCGTCAACAAATACAAAACCCAAATTATAATAAATAATAAAACGATAGATTTTGAAATAATATTAGGTAGGAGAGTTATATACATAGCCGAACACGATTTTTCTAGACTAGGTGAAATATTTAGAAGATATATAGATAAAGGTAAAATTGGTATATTCTCTGAATTACATGACGGTAAATATAATGTAGTACAAGAGAAATTAATAGAGCTTTATGCTAATAATAGGAAAATAAAATTTATTAAATGTTCGTTTAGAGCGCAAGAACTAAGAACGGAAGTAGAGGCCGTCAAACAAGTAGCACTTTATCATGTAAAGGAAAGTTTCCATTCCGGTATTCAGGAAACTTATCACCAAATAAAAAATAAAATATATTACCCAAAATTGATTGAAATAATACAAATAGTGATTAACCAATGTGATATATGCCAACAAGTTAAATATGATAGGAATCCCATAAAACCTAAATTTAGACTCACTGAAACACTTACTGGTATTAACGACATAATCCACATAGATACGTACGTTATGATGAAACATGTTTTCTTGACTATAATAGACAAATTTTCAAAATTCGGAAAAGCATACTACTTAACAGACAGGACTCATGTTACAATAATAGAACAATTAGAAGGACATTTTAGTAGAGCAGGTAAACCCAATAAAATCATTGCAGATAATGAATTTAAAACTATTCAGTTAAGGGAGTTTTTAAGTGACGAAGGTATAGACCTTCATCTTACTAAACCAAATAGTCACACTGGTAACGGCGACATTGAACGATTCCACAATTCTATCGCAGAAATATTTAGGATACTTAGGGTTCAAAACAAAGATAAATGTGTTAAAAGGTTAATACAACAAGCCATTAGAATTTACAATGAACGATATCATTCTACAATTAAGTTTACTCCAAGCGAAGTACATAATCATAAAGTAGATTTTGAAAAAGTTAAAACTAATTTAGAAACTGTAAAATTCAAAAAGATAACTAAATTAAATGAAAATAGAGAAAATTATGAAGAAACCAGGTCTACGGGTTTCATAAAAAACTATAAAGGGGTTAGGCATAAAGAACAGCCGAAATTCAAAAAATTTAAACTTGATAATATACATATATCCAACATTAAACGACCTCCCAAATTTTCAGGTTTGGAAAATATTGACGATGGTCATACTTCTGACAACATCTAGTTTAGCTTCACTAGAAGTTAATAGCATTACAGCTGAAACAGGCTTTGTAAACATAAACTTAGACAAATCAGATTTAGTCATAAAAACCGACATCATTATACATATTATCAATACACAAGAAATTTATGACATTTTACACAACATCTCTACAATAATAGAAAATTTAAATTCACAGTACAGAACAATATTACAATCAGAAATAACACAACTTATTATAAAAATTAATACTATTACACCTAAAGATAAAAGAACAAAACGAGGATTAATAAATGCTGTAGGAGTTACGTCGAATTGGCTTTTTGGAACAATGGACGACACAGACCGACAGAATATAGAAAAACATTTAGAATTCATAACACACAACAATAATAGGTTAATTCATAATAATGAAAAACAAGTTAAAATAAATGACCACTTTAATAGAGCATTTAGTCAGTTAAAACAAGCTATAGAAAAGGACCGTGCTTTAATATTAGAGAATCTAAATAAAATAGAAGAACCCGCAATGCAACAAAATTTTTACATAGAATTAAAATTTAAAATTCAGTTTCTAAAAAAAAAAATAAATCAAATTCAGGATAATTTAGCTTCAGCCAGACATGGCATATTTCATCCTAATATACTAACAAATGAGGAAATCCAAAATTACGATATAGATTTCTATAAATTGCAATACATTAAATTCGGAGTAGCTAAATTTCAAGAAAATTCATTGTTACTTGCTTTAAAAATTCCTAATAAAATTAAAAAAGTTCAGTTAAAATTAATAATCCCTTTACCTAATAAATTTTTTAAAGAAATTGATTATGTTCAAGAAACCATTTTTGAGTATGGTAGTTTAAATTATCAATATGAGGACTCAAAAACATTAAATGAGTTAAAATTGAGCAAACACTGTACTTTAAAAAATAATCGTAAACTTATATATAATAATATTACAGAAATAATTGAGATTGATGAGGAAACTATTGTAATAAAGAATGCAAGAAATATTAAATTGAATCACACTTGTGACAATAGGAATTTGACTTTAAATAAAAATGTACTTATTCACTTTAACAATTGTTCATTAAAAATATTAGATCATTATTTTTCAAATGTAAAACCTATTTTAAAAGAAAGATTCTATTATCCAATAAATGAAAATAACGAAAACTTTAAAAACTTTAAAACTCAAATAACATTTGATGAAATTGTTGTAGAAAATTTTAAAAATGTAGAGAAAATAAAAATTTTACATTATCATAAAAATGTTTCTTATATTTTAATTATTGTAACAATTATAATACTGTCAATAATAATTTCGTTTGGAATAGTTGCATTATGCAAAAAAATTTAAGAAAAAATTTAATATTAATAGAATTCAGGAGAATTCTAATCTTAACGGGGGAGAAGTTACGTACAATAATACCGCTAATGACGCAACACTTCCTGTTATTTAAAATTCTTACATAAAATTTTATTAAAAAATTCTCACAGACTTATAAAATCAATGCAAGTATCCAATTTCGAAATAATTATGAAAGTTATATTAATTTCCTGTTATCAACAAAACCGTCGCATTATAAAGGTAGACACGTTTTGTTGACACCAGCAAATTTACTTTTAATAATAATAAAACTTAGTTATAAGAAAAGCTTTGTAAATTTAGTCATAATTAATCTAAGAAATCGAACAGTTGTGTTATAAAATAAATCAGTCTAATAAAAAAGTGTTTTTCAATTGTAAATTTCAAAAGTGTTTTTTTTTAACATATATGAACTATATATATTT